AGTGACCTTGTTTTGATAAAGTCGACCTCACTGCTTTTGTCGTGGAAATCAAGTTGTTCTTATGCTAACCGGTTGGCATTTAAATGAAAAAGCGGAGAGGTCTGTATCAAAGCAAGGTCACCTCCAGCCTTGCTTGCCTTCATAGGCCAGGTAACTAAGCACACAACTGTAAAATGGCCTGTACCAATTCAAGCAAGATAAAGGAAACTCATGAAAACCAGCTAAGGCTGATGTGGCTTCCTATCTAAATATTGTAATTTAGTTAATTTATTTATTGTCAAGAACTTTTGTCGTGTAAAGGATCAAAGTTAGATTGACAAAACGTCATAGCTCTTTGATTCTGCGAAGATGTATTCGTATAAATCCCGTGCACATTATTTGTTACCAGAAGCGAGCAGTTTTCTGAGAGCGAAACCGAACCAACTAACACGCATAGAAATCGAGAGCGAATAATCCAAGAGTCGTTCAAAACTTTAACATGTCTCTTGCTTTTGCTAAATCCTCTTCACAGACACTGCGAAAACGCAAAGAAGCCGGCTGGTTGTCAACAACCACACATTGCCAGGCTATTCAATATCTACTACAGAACAGATAGTGAGTAGCGTGGCCAATCAGACAACGGCATTCATGATAGAACACTAGTAGATTTTTACCAATAATGAATAAATACCTTATTCATTTTTTATGTAGAATCGCTGTTCATCGAGTCCATGTCCAAACAATGCTACCTGCCTTTCCTTGACGCCAGAAACTTTTCAGTGCTTGTGTCCCGGGGGATTTATCGGGATGGACTGTGAAACTGGTAGGTGGCAGCTCAGCTCAGGTTCAGTCTGTTATAAAGAAAAATAAATTTAACTCGACCACACGTTTAATAAATTGCTGACAGGATGGGAGAAGGCCTAGGGAGAGCTGAGTGGATCTGTTGACCCACCATCTCGAGCATCAATTTTTGCTATCCGTTTTCATACTACCCCTTCTTTATTCAAGGGAAGAGCTGCCAAGACATTAAGACAAGATTCCCTCATGCTGAAGATGGAATGTTCCAGGTACAGCCGGATGGCGGGCTGAACATGTTCTCTGTCTATTGTGATATGACGTCATTTGGCGGGGGATGGACAATGTGTTACTCAACTGACAACCTGGTGAATCCCAAAACGGAAGTGACGTATGACGAGAAT